TGTTTTAGGGGGGTGGAGTGGGGTGCAATTTTGATCAAGTCCTGAAAAGGGTAGTAGTATAGACAGAAAAAGGTTGAAAACCCTTGCTCTAAAGCCTATATATTACGGATTGTTTTCAGGTCGCATTATTATTATATCTTGACAAATCATTAATGAAATGGTGTAAAAGAAGCTCAACTCAATATTATATACAACGAAATATTCCATTCTTTACCAAACAGATTTGGCTTTAGATATTCAGTTGACTCGTCTTCATGTCAACTTGTCGTAAATGGGCTGAAAGATCTCGACTAGATGTTTTCACAGTCGTCCAGACCGTTTAATGCGTAAGTATAGACTCGCACAAAAACTAATTCGATCACCGATTTGATTATATTGTGTTAAAAAAAGTTATAACTACAAAATTCTATATATTTTTGAGAAAATGGAGCAATTAAGATCTAACTGAATGTATCATTTGCTTGAAATCGTTTAATAAATTTATTGCGTCATTGTCACCGAATTTTATCCAATCAGAGAGACGGAGGCCATTTATTGCCAATAATGGCGGCATCCTGAGACTGCTGCATGAGAAGTTTTAACAACTTTGTGAAATTTACCGTTAATTTACGCATAATTTGTGTTGATCAAAACTCGCCGCTAGTAATTTAAGCAGAAACAACAGTTTTTAACAGTAATTACAATTTTCCGTTATTTTAATTGAGTAGTTTTCAATGTTTTGGTTGGACGAACCTCCCGCCGATTTGCTTTGCTTTCCGCTGAAGCTGTTTGTTTTCATTTTAAATAGGTCAATCAATGGTCAAAGTTGTTTTGTTTACACATCGTTGAAATATGACTGTCTTGATTTTCTATTGCATTTGATAATCATACCACTTCAATAGTTTTAATTTCCATTACATTTTCCTTAATCACTTTGTTAAGATTTATATTTGGCTAGGCTTCTCTGCTGAGTTTGCTTGTTTATTTAAAACCAAAGTGCATACACGTCAAGGAAATCCCAAATTCTAAAACGAGTGCAGGAAACAGTTTCTCTCATTTGATTCTTTTCAGTAACATTTTCATGATATGAAAAACATGCAAGAAGGCTTAATTTTTTGATGTGCTTTGAGCTAATATCCTTTCAATCAGGAAATTAAAGGTCAAACATGTTGACTGTGATAAGAGAGCATGAGCCAGTACTTTGCTGAAGTCGCATGACCATGATGTATTTTGAAATTTTACACTCTTATTTTAGGTAACAAGCAGCCATGCCACGAGTAACAAGGAAGTCGATTGTGGATAGTCCAGAACCCACCAGACGCAGTTCAAGGGCAGCAACTCAAGCCTCTTCAACCAGCTCAAAGGCTACCCCACCACCAAGGTTAGAATATTGGATAATCTTCTCATTCTCAAACAAACAATCAACATTAATCCCAATTTCTCTGTCTAAACAGGACTGTAGACTAATGTGTTGTTGTTTTTATACAGTAAGCTTATAGTTTCCCTTCTGTTCTGTTCAAAGGATTAAACAAAATAAACCCCAAAATAAAAACATAGAGTAGAGGTAATAAGTTACTTGAAAGGGAATTTCATTTCTTGTTTATGGTAATTGTTAAAGATTTTCTTCTTGATTTTTTCTTTCCAGTCGGAGTCGTAGTAAGTCAGTGAAAAAAGCTGGTAGTGAAGCAGGTGATGGTCCAGAAGAAATAGAAGAAGTTAAAAAACCTACAGGTCGTGGTCGTAGTCAGTCCAAGAAAAAAGGTAGGCACGGAAAAATTGTGGACGTAACTGACATAAACATTTTCAGGCTGCACTGTGCTTGTATTTATGTCAGTTTTCAATTGAAAAATTGATGCCAACAATTTACCCCACTGCAGACTGCATGGTGTCTTTGAATTTGAAGCTGGAAAGAAGGATGATAGACTCGTAATTAATATCATTTTGAAGTGATTTGCGATGCAGAATGGGTTGATAATTTTGACATGTTTCTTTTCCAGTTGAAGATGTAGAATCCCCAGCGCCTAGAGGTACCAAGAGAAAAGCTCCATCAACCAGTCCGAAACAGACAAAGGGAAAGGGACGAGGTACGGCTAAGAGAGGAAAAGTTGACGTGGAACTTGAAGATGAACCAGAGGAAGAGGAAGCTGTCACAGAGGAGCCGGTGGAGGAAGCGGAACCAGAGGAGAGTAGAGGTAGGAGCAGAAAGAAAGGAAAGACAACTGCAAGCCCGAAAGTAACAGAAAAAGTGGCAACTAGTTCGTCAAGTAGAGGTCACAAAGGAAAGAAAACTCCTGCTGCAACACCATCTCCAGCTAAATCATCACCTAGAAATCAGAGAGGTAGAAAATCTGAACCCACAGATGTAGAGCAAAAAGAAGATGCTGATATCACTGACCCTATAGGAGCTGATCCAGTCAAAGCCAGCCCTGTCAAAACCACCCCAGTCAAAGCCAGCCCTGCCAAAACTACACCAGTCAAACCAACATCAGTGGCAGCCAGTCCAGTCAAAAGTGGTGCCACACCAGTTGTTGAACCTATCACCCCAGAATCAGAACCAGAGATGTCCGCCATTGAGAACATTTCTCCTGCTGAACCAAAACCTCCTGTATCCATTCCTGTCGTAGCAACGGAAGCAAGGCAGACTCCGGGCGGTGGAACAAAACGTAAAGCACGAGATGATGACGAGCAAGACGTTTCTGTCAAAAGACCTCACGTCAGTTCAGCTCATGGATCAAGTGAAACTGTCTCGTCTCAGAAGGATAAAGTAGACGCATCGTCACAGTCAACTAAGATCACTTCTCAGTCTTCTGAAGCAGCAGCAAAACCTGACCCTACAGATGATTTTGAAATAATTTCTCATAATGACGTACCAGCAGCTGATAGTCAGGAAGTTCAGCAATGTGTTCCAGCCACTCAGACTAAGTCCACCAAACCTCAAGTCGTGTCATCTCCATCCAAGAAGGTCACTCCCGCTCCGAAGGTCACAACGTCCGAAGCTGTAAGCAGCCAATCAGAGGCTGGATCCAGCGCGAAACAAGTTTCTTCAGGAGGTAGGAATTGACAATTTTGGAATTTTGTTTTTGTTTTGGTACATAGGCCTATTGTGCTGGCATGAAACATTGAGTAAAACCAATATCCAATATGACGTGGCACGATGCATAAAAGTTTTAGGTTTACCATTCCAAAATAGAACTTAATTTTTTCTGATTAATATTGAAAGAAAAAATATAAAATCACATTATGAGAATAAATGTTATAAAGTTAAACAGACATATTAAGGGGCCATAGTTTCGTCTGGGTAAAATGACCAAAATAATCGATTAGCGTCGCTAGGAAGTAGGAATTTATAATTTTGATTATCAAATTTCATAATATATTACATGTCAAAGTTACATTTTCTCCACTGTACCCATTAACAAATAGTAATCTCTTCCACATAGTTTCCCCTCAGCACAATACATACCCACAATCAGCTATAATAACCGATCAAAGCAAGAATATGCTTTTATGACACAAAAATAACCCATGACATTAAGAATTTTGGCATATTTTTAATCTAGTATATACAGGGTTGCATTATTTCGATTATTGATCATTAGCCTGAAAGATAGTCGATCTCAATTTAGTAATCGATACCCAGCCCTAGTCATAATGGTTTTGTATATTACATCAGGGTGTAATACTCCAGTTTATTTTGTAGTTGTATCAGGTCAGTCTGGATCAGTAGAAGTGAAATCTAGTACAGATAGTATATCAACAGTTGACAGTTCTGTAGATATTGGTTGTTATGGTGATGATAGAACTCCCCTACCCCCAAAGGTAAATATTTTTAAAGTGGGAGAAGGTGTGAATGTTTTGAAAGTGTTGTTAGGAACAATAATGATATAAAATACATCTATATGATAAAAAAAAGAAATTAAATATCGTCTGTTCTTGGTTTAATTTCATTAGGAGTGAAAAAAGAGGAACAATTTCCAATCATTATGGACTAAAGGTTGTAACATTGTACTAATGACAAAGTTATGAAAGCACAGGCACAGGCACAGGACTTATAAGTTTTAAGTTCTTTAATTTGAATAAACAAAGTGTGTGTTAGTTAAAAGATGTTTGTAAATTCTGGTTCTGTACACTTTAAACTATAGATAATCTGAATTTAGCAGAAGAGAAAATCCCCTTGGGATCTTTGAGTCAGAACAAATTAAAAAAAAACAATGTAAAAAATGTTGGCAATATGATAAGAAGATAGATATTCTGAAATACAGCTATTGTTATTGTAAACTGTATTATTTAAAACAATTAATGAATTTTTTGATTTTGTCATTTTAGCCCTCCACTGCGAAGACCAACATTACATCCCAGAGTTCCTTGTCCAATGTAAATCATCGTGCGGCAGATTCAAACCAAAAGGAGGCAACGTCCAATAAGAATTCAACTAACTCTATTAATTCACAACCAGCAACACAGTCTAACCAATCAGAGAACGTTACTAGTAGCAACACAACTAATGGAGTCAGCCATCTTGAAAAACCTAAAGTTTCACCCATCAAGCATTTCGATCCTAAACCTACACCTACTAGTGCTTTTCTCACCAAATATAGTAAAGACATTTTTAATCGTAATTATTTGACGAATCCTGCCTTATCGAACCCTGTTGATTCTACCCGTCAATTTAGCCTGGTCTCTTATAATATATTGGCTGATTGTCATCTACAACGTGGGGATTACAGTTATACGTCTGATCAATATTTAAACCAGAATTATCGTCATGAGTTACTGCTCCGTGAGTTGAAATATCTCAACGCTGATGTCATTTGTCTACAGGAAGTCAACCCTGAATATTTCTCTGCCATTTTGAAACCTGCTTTACAAAGGTAAGACATTTCTACTTACTTAAAGGTGCGCCATTTTGGGGAATTGATTTTAGCCATGAATACATGTAAATAGTCTTCAAAAGTACAAGAAATGTACGAAAATCACATAATACTTCCTCATGTGAAAAGTTCATTAGCTGCTACCAATATTTTGTCAAAATGTCACAGATTTCGGGTTTTCGTTTTGTAGTTCGGATCGTTAGTACCTTGGTTATATGGATGTTCTAATAGTTGTATATATATTTCAGTTTGGGGTATGCTGGTGATCTACATAAAAGATGTAAAGAATATTTTAATGAAGGGGAAGCCACGTTTTATAAAACTTCTCGTTTCACCATGTTGGAACAGAAAGGGTTAAATTTAAAAGACTTAGCAGAAAGGGTTAGTGATTGATCTTTGTTTTCTTTTATTTAACATACATCTTTAAATGACTTTCGTCACAAAAACCAGAAATCACCAAGTAAGAATGTTGCTGTGGAGTGAATCTGGTTTTCACTTCTCTAGAAATCTAAAAAATTAAATTTTCTTGAGTTCTTTTTATCATTGGAATTGTTGAACTCGTGACAAAATTTCAATTAATAGATTTTTATAACAATCAGGGATCTGGGTCTGAACTAAATCTTTTTGTTTTTCTATTGTGAGCCTATGATATATTTTTGTAGCAACTGTGCTTCATTTCACCAATTTTGTGTCATAAGATTTATTAAACGTATGGGATATGTAAAATGTATTTATTATTGTCTGTAGGAAGTAATGGCAGGAGGATTGAATGAAGATGTACAGACAGCAGTAAGAGAATATCTTGACAGAGCAGACGTACTTCATCTGTCTCGATTACAATGTAATAATACAGGAAAGATAGTCACTATTGGTAATATACATGTTATCTGGGACGAGTTTAAATCACCTGATGTACAGTGTATACAGGTAACTATAGCAACTCTTACTCAAGTTCTCGATAGCGTATCGAGTATCATTTACAACCTCAAAGATATTCAGATATTAAATTTCCCAACCGTGAACCGGACATGTGATTTGGTGGCTAAAATTGCGACAGTGAGCTGTGAACACTATTCTTGATTGGCTAGTTATAAAATTTCTAAGACTAAGATACAATTGGTCTAAATGTTGTCAAACCTGTGACTCTGATTGATTGATATTATTTAATTTACAGTTGACAAGGCCCAAGAGACAATCATTATCTCAAGAAAACAAAATATCACGATATAGACCCACAACGCGATATTATCAGCTTTAATATCGCGATATTGCTTTTGACCAATATCGCCCAGCCCTAGTCTAACAGATGAATTAACTGTCACTCTGATTGATTGATATATTTTTATTGACAGATTGCTAGTGCTATAAAAGAGATAGTGAATAAAGCTGGTAACGATACATCACCTTTTATTATCACGGGAGATTTTAACAGTGAAATATCTAGTTCTGGATATCAGCTAGGTCGAGATGGTTATCTTTCAGATGTCAATATACAGAAATTACAATCACTGGAGAATTTACAGACAAAAGAGGGTTCGGTAAGTTTGTTTAGTTTAAATGACGGTTGATGTTTTTTTAGTTAAGATTTGAATGGATAAGTTGTAAAAATATTCATTCCTTCAATCATTCATACTTTCTTTCACATTTCATTCATACTTTCTTTCATTCATTCACCCATTTCATTCATTCATACTTTATTTCACATTTCATTCATTCACATTTCATTCATTCACTCATTTCATTCATACTTTCATTCACATTTCATTCATACTTTCATTCACATTTCATTCATACTTTCATAAACATTTCATTCATACTTTCTTTCATTCACTTGTGTCATTCATACTTTCATTCACATTTCATTCATACTTTCTTTCATTCACTTGTGTCATTCATACTTTCATTTCTTTCATATTTTTTGCATTCATACTTTCATTCACATTTCATTCATACTTTCATTCACATTTCATTCATACTTTCATAAACATTTCATTCATACTTTCCTTCACATTTCATTCATACTTTCTTTCATTCACTTGTGTCATTCATACTTTCATTCATACTTTCATTTCTTTCATATTTTTTGCATTCTTATTTTTTTTATTCATACTTTCTTTCATTCACTACTTTCATTCATTCATTCATCTGTATGGCTATCACTGTCAGTTGAAACAAGAAGAGTAGAGATAGTTAATAAATAATAATATATTTTGTATTTTTTTTAGAAATCTTTAGTGAATCATCTATGGCGAGCATTCCAACATACAGCTTCTAATCTACGTTCAGCTTACTTCACTGTTCAGGTAAGGTCTTCTTTGTCAGGTGATATTCTGGAATTGTTGACAGGTAAGGTCTTCATTGTCAGGTCATATTCTGGAATTGTTGACAGGTAAGGTCTCCATTGTCAGGTGATATTCTGGAATTGTTGACAGGTAAGGTCTTCGTTGTCAGGTGATATTCTGGAATTGTTGACAGGTAAGGTCTTCATTGTCAGGTGATATTCTGGAATTGTTGACAGGTAAGGTCTTCATTGTCAGGTGATATTCTGGAATTGTTGACAGGTTAGGTCTTCATTGTCAGGTGATATTCTGGAATTGTTGATAGCTGAAAAATGATTTAACCTGTTTGTAATGAAACCAAACTCTGTTGTTAGTTTCTCTAATAGAAATAAAGGAATACTTGAGGTTATCACAAAGTTTTGATTGGGAAGAACTACAGCTTTATGTTATAACATGTACCAGTGGGTTTCAAGATCTCGTTGATGAAGCTAATGGAATGTAATGTGATATAATTAGTTAACTTATTAGGTCACAAAGAGAGAAGTGAGGGTTTAGATTTGTCATTGTTCCCATTGGAAAGTTTGCTTGATAATCCAATGGAGTTAAATGGAGGGCCTATTGGCTGTAGACTGTGTTAGGTCCGGGTTGGTGTCGAGTCGGTTGATTATTAGGTAGTCGAGATTTCGACTGGAGTGTCTCGGTAAATGGAAGTGAGAGGCGATTGGTGTGTCAAACAGGGATAACTGGTCGCACAGCCCATCTTTATCTCTTAACTTATTAGGTCTTTGGTTCTCTTGAATCCTTGAAAAATGAGCTTTAAGCAATTTGAAGAGACTGATGTGCACAAAAAGATCTATTTATTTAGAAGGGATATTAAACAGGATGCATGTGTATGACAGTTGGAATTTAATTACAAGTAGGTAAATGCTGCCAAAATTTCCCTCATTGCACACTGCATGGTATGATTATCAAAGATCATTTAGATAATGCAGATGTATAGTGATATAATATTTTTATATCTGTTTATGATTTATGTCATCAATCATTGTATCTTTGAAAACTAATTTTTAATAATAAAATATTTTAACAGGGTCAAGAACCAGTAGTCACATCATACACAGCTAACATGAAGACAACAGTAGATTATATATTCTATAATGCAAACAGTCTGGATGTTAACGGAACACTACAGGTGGTACATCATGATGTCATCAATAAAACAGGAGGCTTACCCTCAGCTGAGTTCCCCTCCGATCACGTCTCATTGAAAGCTGTGTTTAATTTAAAACCTTAGAATAGGTGAGGTCCAGAGATTTTTTGCTTAACAGGACACAATTATATAGATAACAATTACTTTAATAAATAACTTGTGATGTTTCGATGATGATGCTTTCGTCTTTATCAAGAGTCGAAACGTCACATGTTATTTATTAAAGTAATTGTTATCTATATAATTGTGTCCTGTTATTCATACCCCAGTTACTAAATGCCACTTAAGGAAGATATTTTGCTATAAAGACCAAAAATTGCAAAAAATATTTATGAATATCAAGGAATGTATCAAAATGAAAACATAAATTCATTTCATGTTGAATAATATTGAACTGGCCACGTATTCTCGAAATCGATGTCCTAGAATCAATGTTAGAAGATAAAAACCTAAGACAACCTAGTGGTAAGATCGTTTGGAGAATACTTGGCCAGAACTTGTATTAAATATTTTACCTTGAAATAAAAAACATCACTTGATTCAAAAACATATATTTCTATCAAATTACACACCTTCGTTTTCATCAGGATCTGGTCTCTGTAAAAGTATAAAAAAAAACTGTTGGATGAATAGTTTTATATTTTTTGAAGAAAACAAGACTGTATTCATCCATCAAAACTGAGTCTTTAGTTAGTTTCACAGTTGATAACAGTTTATTCCAAAAAAATTAAAAATTTCACTATCTTGAAATATACTTGGTAATGTTAGTTTATAGTTTTTACTCTTTTATTTCAGTGGATAAAGAAAAACAGATTGTAAATATATTTTCACCATGGTATCATCTATATATAACTCATGACATCATCAATGACATTATCAGTGTTAATTAATATTAACCAATCAGATTGTACTCGTTAAGTTGAAATGTCTAACATTGTGTATAAACCCGTTCCAGTTGTGGATATCACCTGCCAAAAAAATAAACCTTTTATTAATGAATTAGTCCAAAAAAATTGCCAAAAATATGGTAATTAGGACTAAATCAGGAAAGATGTAAAATAGTTCCAAATTTGAAAAACTGTTTTAGACATATGATTGGTCCATTTGATCAGGAAGGAATTCACATCCTACCAAAGACATGACTGAGTCAAACAGACCTTCAGGCTACAAGGTACTCTATATAAAACATTCGCTGTTCAAGGTCACCGTATTTTGTAATATGGTAGGATAGGGTTTTGCTTTCCAGTCTAACATTATCATTCTGATCATGTAGTAACATTATCATCTTACATTAAAGGAACAGCTGCGCCATTTTTTTTTTTGACCAATTATACTTAAGTTCACCGTCGAAATTTGCGCCTTCAAATCCATGTGTGTCCATAATTATCTACATTTGAATGTTAATTTAACGACTCGTCATTTCTAGATACTCGGTGATATATAGAAAAGACATATAGAAATAGTAAGTAAAATTCCTAGATTGAAGTATTTTTAAAAGAATCAGGCGATGTACATTTTAGTTTATCTGAAGACTATTTACATATATTCAAGATTAAAATTAACCACTCAAAATGGCACACCTGTCCCTTTAAGAAATTTTCATTGGGTTTTTAATTATTATTTCAATTAAATTGTTATATTTTAATCTACAATGTTAATATCTTTGTTATGATTACATTTTATCCAGTTTTAGGAAACGTTACAAGTTTTAAGGCAGTTTGTTTATTTTTTTTATTCTTTATATTCATGTTGAAGGGATTCATGTTCAAATTAAAGTGATATGGATGTCTAAATATTTGCTTTACCAGCTGACAAGAACTAATAAGGAGATGGTTAACAATGGTATTTTTTGGTTGGATTTGAGTTAATAATTAACTGATTGAGCTACTACTAGTATGATTTGATTTAGATACAAGCGTTAAATGCAGCTCTATCAACTGGTAAAGTAAATATTTAGACAGCTGAAATTGAGCTCAATCAGCTGATATATTAGATATTTAGACAACTATACAGATAGCTTAAATTGGGCTCTGTCAGCAGGTAAAATAAATATTTAGATGACTATACAGATAACTTAAATTGAGCTCTATCAGCTGGTATAGTAAATAGTTAGATGACTATACAGATAGCTTAAATTGAGCTCTATCAGCTGGTATAGTAAATATTTAGACAACTATACAGATAGCTTAAATTGAGCTCTATCAGCTGGTATAGTAAATATTTAGACAACTATACATATAACTTAAATTGAGCTCTATCAGCTGGTAAAGTAAATATTTAGATGACTATACAGATAGCTTAAATTGAGCTCTATCAGCTGGTAAAGTAAATATTTAGACAACTATACAGATAGCTTAAATTGAGCTCTATCAGCTGGTATAGTAAATATTTAGATGACTATATAGCTTTAAGATAATTAATGTTAATTATTATAATTTTTAGTCAGTCAGCAATGTTTCTGCACATCTAGTGATTTTCAAAATATTGAAAAAAACAAATTGTAACTGTTTATTTTAAACGTAAATTTTTACACCTGTGAAACAAGGTTTTATGAAAAATTGAAAAAATTAAATATTTTTGCATTCTAACTCGCCGGCAATATATCAGTGTAATATATTCAAGTTGAAAATTATATTTAATCGAGCAACAATGTTTATGCATGTCCAGGTCTGATTCAATCATAAACACGTTCTGTCTACTGTATTTACTAGTTTTATATTGTGTTGATTACTAACTATCTAAAATTAAAATGAACTGCTCCAGTTTGTGATTGAGTTATGCCCAAATTTGCATTAATATCTTGTAGAGCTGCAAACGATTCACTGACGAATCACGATTCTTTCCTTCTCATCGATGCATTGCGTTGGATAAAAATAATTGCGATGTATCGGCACAATTAACGCCCTTTCAGAGCAAATATCACAGAATCCTCGTGTGTATAAGAAATTGTGTCATGATTTGATTATTTAAGTATAATTTTCACATAAAAATTTGTAAAAATTCATTTCTGACTTCAAAAATGAAGAATTGTCTTTACAATTCTCTACATCTAAATGTTTTCTAAATAGTAACAAAATTGTTATAATTTGTAATTTTAAATTTTTTAGTATTTTGTTTTTCTTTTCTTCTCTAATAAAGGAATCACAATAAATGGTATTGTTAGATGGGTATCGAAATCGCAACTTCAAAAATCATTGCAGCCCTAATATCTTGGCTTGGTGTAAAATGTTTTGATTCGGGGTTTGTTAAATTCTAGATGTGTAGAAATCTGTACTGACCAACTATTAATAATTTTATTGTATAAATCTTGTTTTATTTTATTGTATGTTATAATTATAATGGTCACTTGTTTTAGTAGCTTGTTATTTCCCTTAAAACCTTTCTTATATCATCAATATAATTATATTAACAACGTTGCTCAGGTTATACGTTTTCATTTACCTCCTTAAAGAGATTGTAAAGAAGGTTTTCTTCATTTTGTGTTTCAGGGACACTGATAGCATCAATTTGCACCATTCCAATTTATCAATCAGATGTCTATGGTTCCTGCAATTCCACTAAAACTAAGTGTTTGATGACGTCATTAATCACAAAATATGCTTTATTAAACAAGGCCTTTTGCTTTTAATGACGTCATCAAACACTTAGTTTTAGTGGAATTGCAGGAACCACAGATGTCTGACTGAAAATTGGAATGGTACATCAGTGTCTTAATACACTTAAAAAATTTAGGAAACCTTCTTTACAATCTCTTTAATATAAAGACACTTATATTACTTCACTGCTAAATTCCAAAATAATGTCATGAAACAATCTATTTAGAAGTAGATTAGATCACAGCTTCCTTTCTGTATCTGAGAATTTTGAACCCATTGAAAAAGAAATATCAGGGGGGAAAGAACAAATTTTCAGTAAATTTTGATTGAATTGTGCAACATGTAATTGTGTTTTTTGCTCATTGTAAAATGTCCAGGTTTTCTTGTGTCGGTCACCTGACTTACATTACATGCTTGACAGAAAGAAACAACTATAGTTTACAAGGATAACAACTTAGGTTCACTGTTAAGGATCCTTTCTACCAGCTGGTCCTTGGCCAAACCTCTTGGCATTAATCTTTCCTGGATTATCCTTAAACATTTATAGTTAGATGGACTGGAATTATACGTGACCATGTAAATGACGTTCTAACTGACTGTGCTGTAGAACCTCGTGAAACTTCTA